TAAGCAAAACTTGATCTGCACTGGCGAATGTCTGCTTTGGTGGATTATGATTTCTCTCGACCGCTGCCAGCGCCATTTCAAATGAACCTCTTCTGTTATCGTCCTCGTCACATCCCTCTCCCATTAATAATGAGTGTGTCTCTGTTGCACTTCTGAGCTGACCTTTTCAGCAAAAGGCTCTTTTTGCTCGTTGGCCAACATGCCCCCTGAGCTTAGCATCATAGCGCTATGTTAACCCCGGAAAACATGTTCCTTGTGATCCATGAAGTTGGTGACAGCAGCCAGGCGGCGTTTTGCGGGGGGGCGAGGGGATGGACAGATGACCACTATCGCCTTACAGTCACCAATGTCAATCTGGTCGCCTGTCCCAGCTGTCACCCACATTGCGGGATGTGCGGACACGCAGCACCTAAGGGTTGCAGAGACGGACTCTAGGGAGGAGGAAGGATCAGAACACAGCTGCCACAAAATTTGTTTTTTGGATGCACAAACACTGTACACACACACACTCACGGCACCACAGCCCACACGTGGTATAAATCCTCAAACACTCAAGGCATCCGTCAGTCACTTTTATGGTTCCCTCAACACTCGCAGTGATAAATTGAAGTTTTCCTCTGGAGAAGTGATTACGGAGAGTGTCAAACTCCAGCTGAACTCCGTCTAAATCAACCGTGTCAAACTGTTCATCGAACCCACACGTACTTGTTAGTGCACTATAGGAATTATTACAGTCTTATTGTAGCAGCTGCTTCATTTTGTCGACCTTCAACTTGATTCAGAAACCATTCATGTAGTGAAGCTGCTCATCTTACCTAATCGTAATCTTTAGCAGCTCGGTCAGTGTTCTGTCACTTGTATGGTCGTGCACAAACAAGCTGATGTTAGATGTGCTCTTTCCTGCAGCACTTATCCATCTCCAATGGCAACATCCAGGTGGATGCTTCCTTCATGCAGACTCTGTGGAACGTCCATCCCATCTGCTCCGGTAGCAACATAGAAGAAGGTAAAGGCTTTACACACAAATCAAATAATACGTATAAATACAACTATTAGGAAATACAGTATATCTCAAAGTAAAATCCCAACGATTCAAAACAGTTGTCTTAAACTCATTTAGTATCCTGTTTTGATGCATGAATCAGACAATGCATGTCATGTCAGAACGACCAAAGTTTGCCAAAAATTGGATCTATTCAGATTTATTTATTGGATGCTCTAGAAAACACCTAAACTCTGAAATCTCCAAATTTATATACCAGTTCTGAGACTGAGAGGCTCTGAAAGTGGAGGTTGATGATCTCCAAAATTAAAGATCCCTTTGGTGAAAGTCAAAGGTTTGATTTTGCTAAGTTATATACTAGAAACCACATCATAAGCTAAAAAAGCAGTGGGTGCTGTGACTTAAAACTACAGTGTACTGATGGCAGTGTTAAAATCACAAATTCAAATTCAACATATAAGTAACAAACCTAAGAGTGAGACTTTGTGCTTCGGTCTATTAGAATACCTGTAGTATCACAACTTGCCAGTGTGTAGCGTAGAGTGGTTTTACAGTGCTTGAGTTGTCAGTGAGCTGGTGTGTTTGAGCTGCAGTGAGTTAAAAGAGGGGTTGGCTGAGAAAGAGGAAACAGCACGATACAGCTGCACAACAAGGAGCAATGTAGAGTTACATCGAAGCCACTCTAAGGGATTCATTTTGTGGTAAAACCATCTAAATATGTAGCTTTGATGTACTCAGGTGAGTGTTTGTGGGTTTACTCAATGACTGGAAAGGGACTTTAAACCCAGAATGGCCTTGCTCTCATAAGGTAAGTTTACCTTTCAAATGAAAAACACACAGAGCAACACCTGGGAGTCTGCTGCTTCAACATACTGCATGTTTACTCAGTGCTACGCTTTATAACCGGAGATTATTTTGATTTATGTATTCTGCTATCAGCTTAAATGAAATTACAAAATAAAATAATATAACTGCTGTTGTGCTCAGCTGTGCTGTCGTTATGCCTGTGTTTGAATAGACCCACTAGTGTGTGTGCTGAGTTGTGCTCAGTGGAGATAGTGGGCGTCACAAGCCTCTGATCCCTTATCGACTGTGGTGCTTGAATGTTTGTGAACGCTTTGGGATTTTGCACATTACTGCAAAAATACAAGACATTTTAATACAAGTCCTGAAAGTAGAAAGGATACAAAATATGCTCGGTCATGTATTTGTAAAGGAAAATAATGCTATGTTACACATACGTGAGTGGCAAAACCATGTGAGCAGTTCATTTGAAGGTGAGGTTAGGGTCAGTGGGATGACAGTCATGTTTTATTTAAAGAACATCAAAGTCTGATTGTACAAACCGAGGACATTCCTGAGGACCTCAGAAAAAGAGCTGTTGATACTCATGAGGCTGAAAAAAGTTCCAAACCATCTCTCAACATTTTAGACTCTACCAATCCATAGTAAGACAGATTGTGTAAAAAATGGAGGAGTGGTCAACCAACAAAAAGCAGAGGCAATTTCAGTAACAGTCTAAGACAGGGGTGTCGAACTCCGGTCCTCGAGGGCCGCAGTCCTGCAAGTTTTAGATGTTTCCCTCTCCCAACACACCTGATTCAAATGATCAGGATCGTTATCAGGCTTCTGCAGAGCTTGATGATGAGCTGATCATTGCGGCCCTCGAGGACTGGAATTCGACACCCCTGGTCTAAGAGGTTACAAAGGAAGCCAGGGTAGCTTCTAGGCAACTAAAGGCCTCTCCCACATTGACTGATGTTACTGGACATGAGTCCACCATCAGAAGAACGCTGAACATCAATGGCGCGCAAACAGGGCTGGAAAAGTAAGGCTACTGCTCTATTAAAATAACAATAGTATTTTGCTAAGGATCACATGGACAATCCTTAAGGCTATCGGAAGAAGGTTTTGTGGATAGATGAGCCCAGATAAGAACTTCTGGTTTAAATGAGAAGCATTTTGACTGGAGAAAGAAACTATTCAATTCCAGCTTGAAAGCATTGTCCCATTTGTTAACCATGGTGGTGGTCGTATCATGGTTTGGCCTCCTTTTGCTGCATCTGCACCAGGCCAGCTTGTCATCATTGATAGAACAATGAGTTTTAACTTGAACTCTACAGGATGATGTCAGTACATTCCTCCATGAACTGAATTTCAACAGGAAGTGGGTCATGCAACAAGACAATGACCCCGAGCACCAAAGTCATTCTAGCAAATAATGGTTCCAATGACCAAATCAAAGTCCTGACCTTCATCCATTAGAAGTGGAAGGACCTGAAGCGAACAGTTCATCTGATGAAACCCACCAATGTTCCAAAATTTAAGCAGTTCTTTACAAAAGAATGGACTAAAATTGCTTTAAGCCAAATAGCAGGACTCATCAACAGTTGCCTTTAATGCCCCAATAGTTTCCTTCAATGTGTATTTGCAGTTGATGCTCTATGAGGAGGTCACACCGGAAGCAAAAGTTTGCATCCTTGTGCCACTCACAGATATGTAATGTTGGATTTTCCTCAATAAATAAATGACCAAGTATAATATTTTTTTGTCTCATTTGTTAAACTGGATTTTTCTCTGCTCTTTAGTGAGAAAATCTAATGTTGTTTTCAGGTCATACTTCCAGACTGTAGATCATGAACACTCACACTGTAGGGAGAAGCAGCAACAACACGGGAAAACTAAGGTCACCATGTTTAAATCTCATGTCCCTCTCCTCCAATAGGCTACCTGTTGGGTGGTCATGTGATGCGGTTGTTCCACGGACACGACGAGGTTGTGACCATCCCCGGATCCGACCAGAGTGAAGAGCAGCAGAGGTGTGTAACGCAGCACAGCAAGCCGGAATAAACAGCAGCGTCAGGGGGCCTCATTTTAGAGACGGCAAAGCAGTGGCAACACCCATGAAGCCGTGCCTTTACTCTGATGCCTCTGCTTCCACCGCACGTCATGAAAATGTCTGTGACCGGCGTAACGCTTGGCTCTCCAGGGAGCCAAAATGGCTGCTGTGTTATTTTTATCTACAGTATAGCTTCTTGGTGCCAACACAGATAAGGTAGGCCGAGGAAAAATGGCACACTGGGCTTGAAGTGGGTCAAAACAGCGGGCAAAGCCCATACACACTCAGCCAGGTGCCAGCAGATACGTGCCTTCCTCTTGGACACACACACATGTACACACACACACACACACACACAGAGTCTATTTTTAGAACAGAGCATGGCAAATATGGGGGCGGGATTAGATATTAATTTCTAGCTTTGGCTTTTCTCCTAGTGTTGTCCTTGAAATTCAACCTAAGGAGCATGCTTTTTAGAGGTCTTACATTTTTCTGGGGCAGATCAAACACACTCCAAGCTGTCACCAAGGGGGTGATTTCTTTTATCTTGGGACCCAGTCACCCATATCACTGATAGACAGTGTAGCTGTGGGTTATCAGGGCGCATATGTCTCTGTTTGAAGGATGTGATGCTGGAGTCGGCAGAGTAAATACAGCTCAGTGTGTGCGCGTGCGTGTGTTTATGTGTCTGAGTCAAACCTCTTGTCAGTGAATATCAGTGTGACAAATGAGAGGAAAGAGGTGGTGTTCTTCTAAGCCAGGATGAATGACCTTGACGGTGTCGGTGGTGGCTAGACAGTCCACAGACAGACCGCCCACTCATGATTCTTTGGCATCCCCAGGATAGTCAACTATGAGACGGGTAAAGCTGGTGCCAAGGCGAGGTCCTTGTGGAGGCTGGAGCCCCTCCGAATCAGGTGGGCGGTGTTTCACGTGATCCATTCCTCACTCCCTCTTTTATTCTTTTTGTAAAGATTTATCATCACTCTCCTGTTTTTCCGTGTTGTGTTTTTTTCTTTTTGTCTGCTGTTTCTCTCTCTGCACCCATTCCTCCCTCTCCCCACCTATAATTTAATGCACTGTGGCCTCTCTGTCTTCTTCCCTCTCTCTCTGTCCCTTTCATGTCTTTTACTCAGGCTATTTTACAGCCGCCCAGGGATGCAGCCTTTGTCAAATACAATGTTTGTCTCATCCCCCATGTTTCTGATCTGGTTTTGTTTTTACATTTCTAAACAGAAACAAAATGCATAATTAGAGGGATATTTTCAGCTTTTTGCTAATGTTTAAATCACATCCATACGAGACAATTAACAGCAGTTTTTAGATTTAGAACTAATTAGCAGATATTTCCAGGCTTACAATTGTTTTTTCCCCTATTATGTGTGTTTCTGCTTAATTTATTGTGTGAATGTGCCTTTGACAGCTGGAGTGGGAGCCACATCCGCTGGGGTCAGCCCTTCCGACTACGGCACCTGACCACCGGTCACTACCTGGCCCTGACCGAGGACCGGGGCCTGGTGCTCCAGGACCGGGAGAGATCTGACACCGTGGCCACAGCCTTCTGCTTCAGAGCATCCAAGGCAAGGACACACACACACACATATGCACTGATACAAGGGCACAAAGCCACATGAAGATGTATGTGTTCGACTCCCCGCTGTTCCTCAAGGTGACATGTGTCACACGGGATCAGCTACATGATTCCTCATTAGATAGCAATGAGAGGGCTTTACAATGGATCACCTCTAAACCTTTACGGGTGAACCGCCCACTACCCTTGGGCTGGAAAAATCACCATTTTTCCAAGGACAATGAAAATTACAGGAATTATTGGACCAGCAAAAACTACGCCATAGAGGTTAATTTAGCTGAACTTGCCGACTCTGACTGAAGCGACCATTTAGCTGCACTCCGTGTAATGGAGTGTCGAGATATAACCAGTGATTGTGAGCCAATTACTGACCCATCCAATGTGGATTGAAAGCATATAATATAGAATAAAAGTGAGATCATTTATCTTTGGACTCTTTTTTTTTTTTTTTTTGTCCATTATGGCTTACAATTATATCTGATCCTCGCAGCAGAACAATGCTCTCTCTGTGACGGGTGGAGTCGTAAACAGCAGATGCAGTTGACATTTGGTTGGCGGTTTGATTAAGAACAAATCTGCATGCGGCTTGTCTCTGTGTGCACATGTTTGTATTGTGCCAGCGTGCTCATGCATATTACACTGACAGTTTTGATGTGTTCATTCTCGTCCTCCCCACCCCTTCCTCTGATGCAGGAGAAGCTGGAGCAGAGCCCCAAGCGGGACATCGAGGGGATGGGGGTGGCGGAGATTAAATACGGAGACTCGCTCTGCTTCATCATGCACGTGGCCACAGGTCTCTGGCTCTCCTACCAGGCGCCGGATGTCAAATCTGCTCGTCTGGGTCCCCTCAAGAGGAGAGTGAGTAGCGACGTACATAAGCGGATGCAAAGCACATAGGAAGGCAAATTAATAAATGAATGAGAATCCTCGGAGCAGATAATTATTTTGAGGGTAATGAGTTGATTGGGTTAAGATGATTGTCTGCTAGTTCATATCTCTGCTTAGACTACATATAAACCCTGTCCCTTGGCTACTGTGGCGATGGAAATGCGCGGCGCGATAATGTGGATGACAATGTGTCCTCCATGTAAACACAGCCAGATAGCCTGTAGTGTCAGCACCTGTGTTCCAGACATCGTGGCTCAGTGCTGGCCGTTGGAAACATTTCCTCCATTAAACGGCCACCTCTTCATTTTATTTCCTCTCTATATCATCTCACGGCGACGTCTCTCCCTCTCGTGTCCTCTCAAGGCGTGCCTACACTCTGAAGGTCACATGGATGATGGTTTGACCCTCCAGCGATGTCAACACGAAGAGTCCCGTGCCGCACGAATCATCCGCAACACCACTCTACTCTTTAATCGCTTCATCAGGTATGCTACACGTTGGGGGAGTGAAAAAAATGACTGATTTCTGCACACAAGGACGTGATCGCACAAATTAGCCAATTAAAGCAAATTACAGTCCACGTTTGTCTCGAGCCGCTTTATTAGGGTGATCTGCAAAACGCTCCCTGACTGGTAGGTGGTTACATAAGCGCCATGCTGATGATGGCAGAGCGTAATTAATAAAGAGGATAAAAGTGAATCCTCAGTGGCACCGCATCTCAAAACTATAGCTGAAAACTAAAAAATCTCAAAGCCCCTCCGGACTCTCACACAATCCACACAGTCTTGATATAACGTCCCTCCAGATTGCGAACGCACCCAGCGGAGAGTTGAGCTCTGGGCCTGTGAGTTTTGACTGAGTGGGGTGCCAAAGCCCTAGACAGCTCACTCAGTGGACCAGTCATGCGTTTCCAAATGGCAAACATTGCAGCGGCGTCACGGCTACGCACGGCCGGCTATGAAAAAGGCGAGCCGTGGAGCACGTAAGTGGATGCCTCCAGGACCTTTATTTGTTATCACCGGGCCCTGCTGTCCCCCGGGTCGAGCTCGAGGCCAGTCATGGCGGTAACATGTGAGAGTTTGTCAGCCTCCCCCCCTGCGGCTGTGACACATACATCTCCCCCACTACCCCTCCCACACATACGACAGGAGCTATTTTTAGCAGGCCAGCGGAAATCAGCATTTCAGCATGAATGAACCTGTGGGCTAAACATTGTGTTAGTCATCGCTGCCTCTCCTCAAGTCTGACTCGCATATAGGCTGCCGTTTGTTACCGGTTCATTGCATCCGTAATGAATGGGAGGGCTTTTAAAAGGCTGCACGCTCACAAACATCAGTGAGAAGTGCTGTCTGAATGATTTTTTTTTTGTCTCCCTCCTCCAGAGACCTGGACTGTCTGGGTGTTAAGAATAGGGCACTGGTCGCCCTGCCCGTCGAGGAGGTGCTCCAAACTCTCAATGACCTCATCACCTATTTCCAGCTCCCTGATGCCGAGCTGGAGCACGAAGAGAGGCAGATAAAGCTGCGCTCCCTCAAGAACAGGCAGAATCTCTTCAAACAAGAAGTGAGTTCGGCCATCAAGGAAACAAACCGTCGCTTAATAATATCACGAGCTGCTCCGCAATGCAGCAAAAAAAGAAATAAAAAAATATTACAAACCCCGAGCGAAGAGCCGTGATTGAGGCAATTTTAGTAAGTGGCTGCACGTGTGATCGAGCCGGAGAGCAAACTTGCGCGCGGAGAGGAATTGATTCTTTGTGGTGTGTTTCAATGCCATCTTGTATTTGGAGTCACCGCGTATGAAGGTGTCAGCGGTTTTTGGTTGTTATAAGTTTCCTCCTGAGGCTGGCGTGAGTGCACCGAAGCTTTCTGCTAAGCCTCTAGGGCCTAAATTGCTTTCATCAATTACAAAATGTCAGCTGCCTCACTGAGGGGCTCCCACGATGTCAACTATCCAGATTCCCCTTAACTCGTAGAGGCAACCCGAGTGTGTCGCCACGTGCTCAAGAGACCATACTATTAGTTATTAGTTATGAATGCAGTGTACGTGATTTTCTTGTGTCATAAGATATTGCATGCACATTCCACCAACTGTTTTCCGTCTTATTTACCTGTCCTCCCATAATGGAACGGAATAGCACATCTCTGTCCCAACGCTAATGTATTACATTTAGAAGGTCAATTTGTCACTGGAGACAGCTGACTCACGGTTTTTCCCGGCATTATAAATCATCTGCAATTTCCATTTTGTCTTTTACGCCCTCCATTTAGCATATCTGATCACTATAGATATTTTTCCCGCCGTATAAATCACCGTGACACAACCACCAAATTGGACAGGAGAGAAGCCACGGTGGCTGGGATGGTCAGCTAATTGAAAGCCGGGGACAGATTTCACTAAATGAAGCTTTTATACTAATGAGAGCGCGTCATTCATATAAGATAGGTGTTTTTAAACGGGTATGTTGATGCGGTAAATGTATATATGTCATTTTTCTTTCCCATGTGTGGTCAAAGTTTGTTGGGTTGCTTTCTTAGGGGATGCTGACTCTGGTGTCCAACTGCATCGATCGTCTAAACGTCTACAACAGCGCGGCCCACTTCGGGGAGTGCGCCGGGTCGGAGGCCGGAGCAGCCTGGAAAGACATTCTCAACTTGCTGTATGAACTGCTGGGTAAGGAGCTGCTCTACCACACACTCACGTATGTACAATCACACACATTCAAACTGACTCAGTGCTGTAATCAATCTCTGAGACGAGAGTCATTTGAAGATAAAGTAGCTGCAAGTGTGGTGATTCAGTGGGGATGGAGATCTCTGCTGACCTGGCATTTAACCAGCCATTCACGATTGCTTCAGACTTCAGACGGCGTGCACACACACATGCGCTCACACACACACGTACCCATTGTTGGAGAAAAGACTTGGTGGCATGTGGCCCAATGAATACAAAGAGCTCTCCGGTTTGTGTGATGTGCTTCCAGGGCATCAGCCCAGCAACATCAGTCCCCCCCCTAACACTCACACAGGGTGTCCCCCTGTTGGCCTGATTGTTTTTTAGCTGTTGAATGTCAATTTTCATCACTGTCTGTGCTGTTTTCTCTTTTGTTTACTTGTTCTTTGTGCGCTCTTTATGTCCCCATAGCCCAATGTCATCAGCCTTCCTACAAAAATCGCTTTAACCTTGTGCACTGCTACCATATGCTCTGTCAGATATGGACGTATCTCACTAAAATGACCTGGCAGGGGGAAAATATGTGTGTGTGTTTATTTTTTGCTCTCTCTCTCTTCTCTGTCGCCATATCCTGCTGTCTCCTATCTGATGAGTACAATGTTTGTCTTGAACATTCCTTCGCCAGCTGTCACATAAAAGATGAGCAGAAAATTGCGAGCAGGCATGATTTTCTTGCTGTTGTCATTTAGATTCCTAAGGAGAGAATCTGGATGGCCCATATGTAAAGTTTATCTTTCATCTTGCCACGCCGAGGCCCCTCTGCCCTCCAAGAATGTCCTTCATGCTCTTATTTACACTGATTCCACCTCCCGGCTCGTATTTGTGTTCCAGCCACGTCTCGCTGTTCCTCCCCCCTCGTTCCCTCCTCCACACACCTGGTCCAGCGCAGCGCTAAGTGGATTTGGGATGCCTCCCTCCTTTCTTCTCTGTTTGTCTGCATCGGATGACCCTGTCTTTTTTTCCCCCGCTAGGACATATGTGGGTGTGTTTGTCCGCATGTGTTTGTCTCTCCTTGTGCCAGTCCCTCCTTCTATCTTAGGCATCTTCCAATATTAATATGTATAAGGGTGTCACAACAGCACCTCTTCCTCAGCTGGCTGTAGGCGTGAATTTAAGGTGCCCACCTTTGGGTGACATTGTTTCGCTGTTGTGTAAGACACCGCGTTAGGTAATGCGCTGAAAGGGATCCGTCAAACTGTTTTTTTTTTTTCTTTTCGTATAACATTAGACTCATGCACACTTTCTTTGCGCCCTGCAGCGGCTTTAATCCGAGGGAACCGGAACAACTGCACCCAGTTCTCCAACAACCTGGACTGGCTGGTGAGCAAGCTGGAGAGACTGGAGTCGTCTTCAGGTACACTCATTATCATTCTCCCACATACTGAGTGTCTAGTGAGAGTGAAGCATTGCAAGTCAGGGTTTGTGACACATCACACATTAAGCTGCTTTGATGGAAATCGAGCGCTCCTTAGCAGGGACAGGAGTCGTCAAAAGATGACTCAGGAATATAACTTCTTAAATGCACAGTGAAGAATGTAGCAGCAGCACTCTGTGTTCTCTGTTGATCCATGAACACTGAATGTCTCTTTGACGAGTGTCCTCTGGTGTGTCTTGCTCTTCTGCGGGTGTTAACTAATTGATGAATTTTGCGGCTGTGCAGGCATCCTGGAAGTTCTGCACTGCATTTTAATTGAGAGCCCCGAGGCACTCAATATCATCCAGAGAGGACACATTAAGTCCATCATATCGCTGCTCTACAAGCATGGACGCAACCACAAGGTGAGCAGTGAATAGCTGTGCAACGGTTTAGCGTTAATGCGATATACTGTGCGAGTAAAACACACACCTTGGCTCAGTTTTTATTTAGAAGAGTTAAGGTTCAAAGAGAATGTTGCGCAGTGGACCCGAGTTGCACATAAAGGGGAACATTACTCATTAAAGTAAAACCCTGAATCATGGACCTCTACAGTGTGTGGCTCTGTTGTCCACTGGAGAGAAAGCTCACAGCAATTCATTACAAAGTTGCTCTGAGCGATCATCTCTACCCTATAAACAAGTGGTTCCTTCCCTCCAGTAGAGTTCCACAGACTCGTGTAATTAACGCCAAGGCACATGGAAGTTGTTCTGGCACTATGTAGTCGCTCAGGATCTTCTTAAGACATCTATGATAGGTTGTCCTTTAATTTGCCACTCACTTTGGTTAAAAAAGGGGCTACATAATGATGGATGGGAAACACAAATTTCCATAGGCTACGTAACATCGCTGGCTTATTCAATCTGTTTAAGTGACGGCATTCTGTCAGTCAGACTTTGGCCATTTTTACATCAACGTTTCTCAAAAGAAGTAACAGAGAGAGCCACAGTAAGCACACAGTATTTGTCATGCACATGTGATGAGATTGGAAAGTACGTCATGTGACTTAGTGGCATAATAATGCACTACGAGACAGAAGAATGAATCTAAATTCACTGTGGAGCATGATTCGACTGTAACTTAATCTGTGACTCTGTGACAGCTCATCGATCTGATGTGGCGATACGAACACATTGATGACTTGTCAATTCCATCTTAATGTTGGGGATTATTGATTAAGTAATTAGTAAAGAGGGATGCACGACATATCGGTGACCACATCGGTATCGGCCGATATTAGTGTTTATTCCGATATATCGGTATCGGTCTGATGAACAAATTTAACTGATGATTGTCTAACATTAGCGCCTTCGTCTCTACATTTGATATCGCTGCTATTTCACAGATGTTTTTACTTAAATGTTTCTCAACGTTAAATATGTCAAAATATGTTTTACTTCTGTTACGTAATAAAGAAGACTATGTGGTCTAATTTGATATGGGCTTCTTCTGAATAGTTTCTCACAGTGCTTACTTATATTTATTTTTGGTGTGAACAAAAATTAAATATCGACATCAGTAATATCAGTTATCGGCGATTTCAGAAATCTTAATATCGGATATCGGCCAGAAGTTTTAATATCGTTCATCACTATTAATAAAGTTACCGCTGTTGTGCCGTGTCTAAATGTGTACAACTCCCTTGTTTGGAGAGATTCATATGCTGCTGCTTGATGCTGCAGGTGTTTAATAAACTCAGAGGAAAGACTCCTACAAACAGCTGGAAGCAACAAAAGAAGCTTCAGCTCCTGTTAGCGCTTTCACAAAACCTGAATTATTGAAAACCATTTATTATTGGTGAGTCTGACCTGTTTTATAGTTTCATCGCATTAAAGTTATATTTTTTTCCATTGTGGAGCAAAGTGTTGCTGAAATGCGTGACCTTAAGTCACCTCACACAAGTGCTGTCGCCTTTTACAGAAGAGTCACCGGGGTGATCATTTAGACATGAAGCTGACACGCTGACATGCCGTCAGATTAACTGAAAAGAGTGCATGTCTGAAAGGAGGTATAAATAGAGCAACAATAAAACCTATCGTCAGAGGAAAATATGTTCATTTCTCCTCTTGAACGTTAAAAGAGAAGATCTACACCATGTATAGCTTAGCTGAGCATAAAGGCTGAAAATAAAGGGCACTTGTTTCTTGGTCAGGACCATTAACTTCCTCGAGTCTCTGTGGGCTGCATAGCCGGAAACACACCCCCAGTTAAATGGCAAATTGTAATTTATACGCTACGCTTTTTTAAATCAGATTAAGCAAATGAGATGTCACATGTGAATCTGTGAACTTTATAGCTACTTGTGATCTTTAGAGGACCTGGTAGGTGGATTTATTTGCCTCATTTGGACAGAGCCAGGCTTAGCTGCTTCCCCTCTGTTTATAGTCTTTATGCTAAGCTGAGCTGAACGGCTGCTGGTTATGGTTATATAGTTACTGCGCAAGCACCAGAGTCCTATTGATCCCCTCTCATCTCTCCCAGCTGTATTCTGAAATATCACCAATAACTTAGATTTCGTTAGATTTTTTTTGCCAAGCAAGAAGGCACACTCCTGAAAAGTCATTCTGCACCCAGTCATCTCCACTTCTTTTCTCATTAGGCTCACCAAAAGGGTTTGCTGGATGCACATTTATTTCCATAACAGTTCCCCCTGGGCTTCTCTGTCAACACTTCTTCTCTTTAGCTACTAATTGATTGTGCTTACCTTCTACCGGCATACAAACTTCAATCCTTGACAGTTGGTTCCTGGGGGTTTTGGTTGCAGCGCGTCCCCATCATGAATCAATCTGTTTAACGGCGAAATGAGATCAGTAGCAAACAGTCAGCCGGCCGGGGTCGTAAATCAGCCCAAATGTATCATTCTGCTGTGGAAGCAGGAGAAAAAGGTCAGTGATAAAGCGTAGGTGCTCCGGCCTGTCACCCTTGGCTGAGTTTCCCGGCCCATTTAATTCTACGGCTTTGTTAAGTTAACATCAAACGGGATATTATTGGACATGTTTGTGCCTCCAATAAGCATCACAGAGTAATTATGCAGCAGTCGCATAAAAAGAGGCTGTCCCCAGAGCAGCAACCTGGACAGTGATTAGGGACAAATATAATTAGTCATTTCAGGAAAGGTATGGATTCATATCCAGGCTGTAATAGGGAAAATAAAGAAGACTTACAGGAGAGCTGTTGTGTTCCTCCGCTGCTTATTGTCCTCCCTGATGCCTCCACTTCTTCTCTTTTAGATTCTGGATGTGCTCTGCTCGCTGTGTGTGTGTAATGGCGTGGCGGTGCGAACCAATCAGAACCTCATCTGCGATCACTTGCTGCCCAAGAGAGATCTGCTGTTGCAGACGCAGCTGGTGAACGATGTCCAGAGGTTAGCAAGCAATCCACGTAGCACCTGTCCTTCCAACATCAGGCTTCTCTGATATTTCAGGTCATAGTTATTGACTGACATTCTCATATTAGACCTGAAAAAAGCAATGATCAAGTAAGCTGAGCAAATACAAAGTAAATGCCAAGTGATTAAAGTACTAGTGAGCTTGTGAATGTCTTAGTCAGTAAAGACTCCAACTGAAACCAATAAACCTTATTTACCTAAACACATACTTAAGCTCTAGCATGTTATCACCAGCTGTGACTGAGTTTTAGTATTGAAAACCAGCTCATTTCTATGTTTAAGCTGGTTCACATGGTGCAAATGGCGTAAATCTCTCTGTAAACATTTGGCATAAAGTTTGAATTTACGAACAGCTGGTAGAACCAGTATCAGAGCCCCAACCATGCCACTGTGTGTGATTGTACACTCAGCATTCCAATCTATGGACCATATAATTGAGTGAACAACATACACACCTAAAACTACATCCCTAGTGCAGAATGTATACATTTACCAGCGTGATCCACAGATTTGAATGTGGGCCACATACGAGGTGTGTCAGAAAAGTTTCAGGACTGGTGTCACAAAAGATATATTTCAAACTCAAACTACTAGTTTTCCCCCTGGAGTCTAACACACTTCCCCAGCCTTCTCTGCCACACCGCCATGCACTCCTGGAAGGATTCTTCCGGGATCGTCCTCAGGCCCGTCATCACAGCCATCTTGATGTCGTCCACGTCTTCAAAACGGGTCCACTTGATGACCCCCTTGAGCTTGGGGAAGAGGATGAAAATCCCACGGAGCCAGGTGGGGTGAGTAGGGAGGTTGCTCCAGCCAGGAACTGTGGGATGCTCAGGGCGTTGTGAGCAGGGCGTTGTCATGGTGAAGCAGTCATGACTTGTCCTGCCACGACTCTTGCCTCTTCTCGCGCAAGATCTCTTTGTAGACGTGCTGGTTGATCGTCTGAAGGGGAAAGCTCTTAGTTTGTAGTTTGGGTTTGAAATATATCTTTTGTGACACCAGTCCTGGAACTTTTCTGACATTTACAGTATAATCCACAGATTCGAATGTGGGCCACATACATTCAACCATTACATGACATCACTATGTTCTCAGCTCATACTGGGCCTTCAAAGCCCCTATTTTTTTTTGTTTTACAATGTCAAGAACAATTTCAACGAGGATAACATCCCTTCATATGTTGTGTCTCTTTTTATTGTCACTAGTGAAGTGATCCCTTCATAGAAACATCCCAAACCAGATGCATTAGCTGCAAATTAAATGATCCTGTCTTTAGGATTTACCTTCTCATTCGTTTCAAGTGACAAATAAGATGTTTCAAGTGGATATCTGAGGATATCTTTCTTGCTCCGGGGGATGTTTAACGATTTCACATTTCACTTCACCGCCAGTATGCGACCGAACATCTTCCTGGGGGTGAGCGAGGGCTCGGCTCAGTACAAGAAGTGGTACTATGAGCTGATGATCGACCAGGTGGACCACTTTGTGACCAGCGAGCCCTCCCACCTGAGGGTGGGCTGGGCCAACACCAAAGGATACGCACCCTACCCTGGAGGAGGAGAGGGCTGGGGGGGCAACGGAGTCGGGGACGATCTCTACTCGTACGGCTTCGACGGACTCCACCTCTGGTCAGGTGAGGACAGAAATCCTGTGTGTGTGTGTGTGTGTGTGTGTGTGTGGAGATAATAAGCTTACACATTAAAGATGAGTGGTAAACACGGGCTGCAGCCAGGTTGTGTCTAGACAGAATCGCTGCCCTGCAGGGACGATCTCCTTGCCCAGAGTGTGTGTCGCCGTGCGCAAAATGTGTGTTCGATCCTGTGTGTGTGTGTTTGAGAGATGTGATCTGTGCCAGCGTCACTCACCGGGGCATGTTTCACATTACGGTGTGTGTCTATGTGTGTGTCCTGAGCAGGTCGTATCCCACGGGCGGTTGCATCCATGAACCAGCACATCCTGACCTCAGAGGATGTGGTGAGCTGCTGTCTGGACCTGGGAGCGCCCAGCATCTCTTTCAGGATCAACGGACAGCCCGTCCAGGGCATGTTCGAAAATTTCAACACAGACGGGCTTTTCTTCCCCGTCGTCAGCTTCTCCGCGGGGGTCAAGTGAGTGTTTATCTGCTTCTCCTGCGCGTTTTCGACGACGTACGGACGCCCTGAACCTCCTCTGTGATGAAACAGCTGCAGACAGATGAGACGGGCAGACTCATGCCAAAAAAAATACACAAGCATACATAGAGTTTATACAGCACACCTACACTCCAACACACTCTGCATGCATGAAATCCATCTAATCCACCCACTCAGTCTGGTTCAAACGCATTAATCCTCAAGGCCCTCTGATTGGACACAGGTAAAAAAATGAAAAGAGGACCTGCTTTATTTTCCTCCCTGTTGCCATGGTGACCGCGGATGGTGTGATTGACAAGACTTAAAAATGGAATTTCAAGCTCCAGCAGTTTTTCCATGATTCCATGATTGACTCTGACTTTGAAGAGTACAGCAGCAGTTTGCAGCTTTCACTCGGAGACACTTGACACCGAGAGACTAGTCTGATTTTATTTGGTCATGTAAGCCAGCAGAGAGTGAATTCCCTTCTCGCCGCCTGACAAAAAAATGAATTCTCGAGAAGTATTACCATACCTCATGTAGAGAGTTACTTGTAATTCAAGCAGCATTTTTTTTTTTTTTCCTTCTCTAACAGTCGGGAGAACAGAGTCGACTCATCTGGCTTCATTTGTTTAATCTGTATTAGTAGAAGAACGGAAAAAGGCGCCGCTTGAATTTCCTGACTTTAGTGTCACTTTCATGTCTTCTGCTCGACTAATTTTCTCTCATTCTTGTCCTGCTTTTTAAATTACTCATCAAACAGAAGAGATTTTTTGCATTACTTACCCATTTTAGCCAACATTTTAAATGTTTTGAAAAATACCTATTTACCAAAGTTAGGTGAGGAAGTTAATAACACTGTGAGATCAAATCAGCGTGGTTCCTCTGAGGGATTGTGTACATATATAGATGTGTCTTCTTCTTAACGGTGATTACACTCTCGTGGAGCACAGCTTGTTCATTTTTCTGGGTGTTTGCCAGTTTTCATTTTGACGTTTATCTCCTCCTCTTTTCTGCTCTTCCTCTTTCTTCCCAGTCTGGCGTTTCAATTACAGTTTTGTATAATGTGGTCCTTGTTGCTATTATCTCCTCGAGAGTGTGCCGCGGTGATGCACACCGAGGGCTGTCAGATTTTCACAACAAGATTAAGAAAAAAAAATCCAATGATTTTATGGTAAAAGCTGTTGAAATGTTGCAAGAATAAAATTCTATCACTTAAATTTTGATATTAAATTTGGGAAATTGGTGAATGTATTAGACTAAAAATACAGTCTGCAGCCATAAGTGTACTGCGTTGGAGTCTCAACCAGAACTGGATTATTTATTATATTAATGTCATGCCATTATTTCATTTTTTTAATTTCATGGTTATCGTTGCTATCTGTACATCCGTAATACATGCATTGTCCCTTTAAGGTTATTGATTCAACTACTAATAACTCATCTCTCTGTATAAAAGTCACACATTTTAAAGTATTTTTTTACCATGAAACGAACCCCTACCTGCCTTAAAATGGCTCAGATGTAACTGTGCTGTCGCCCTGGAACCCTGGAAGTCTGAATTAGTCAAAGTCAGTTAGTCAGAGTTACTCTATTGTCAGTTCTGCTACACCTGTGCACATACAGAGAACTGAAATTGCATTTCTCTCCAACCTTCATTTAAAAAAACACGGGGTGTCCCTATAGCTCACTTGGTTGAGGGGGCGACCCATGAACAGGGGCTGTAGTTCCCCAACGTAGCGGTCGTGAGTTCAACTCCTGCTCACGACAGTTTGCTGCAGGTCTCTCCCCATTCTTCTCCCGCGTTTCCTGTCTCACTCTCTCACTGTCCTGAATAATAAAGGCAAAAACACCAGAAAAAATAATCTACAAAAAAAAAACACGCAGTTGAAAAATATACATGCTAAAAAATATGTAAGCTAAACATATAATAGGCTAAAATATACAGTCTAGACCTATAATAAGCTACAAAATATACAATCTAAACATATAATAGGCTGAAACATATACAGTCTAAACATGTAAAAAATATAAACACAAAAGATAACAGAAGAATCTGCATAAGGCACATTGAGGAATTAGTTCTTTTGGGACTGTCATTGGTACAAATGCTCAGCTCATGATGTTTTCTAGTATGTAAAAAAAAAAAAAACACAATATGGACGAAACTTTCACAGGAGGAGGTCTTTACATACAGAAATTATTCAACTGGTTTATCATTATCATGACATTACTTGTCCAAATTGAACTAAAACCAGATCATTATTGCCTTACAAACTTGCCCCCCCCTCCTCAGTTTACTGGTAGTCTCTGTCCAGTATTTCATATGCAAAGTGCCCCCCTTCTGAGCACCGTCGAGTGGGTGAGACACTTCCCAAGCTTGTACTCGAGATTGACCCAGTGAACAGGGTTGACGTCTCCACGGACTCAAATGTGCCAGAAAATGACAGCCGCACATCTTCGCTGCTCAATAATTGAGGGCTGCGGCGAGAATGGCTTTTGGTTGCGTCACCACTACTACTTGAGCAGCTATTTTGGGCGGCCTCAGGAGAGCCTCTTCACAGCGACGGCCTGAGACGTTTTTTTTTTTTTTTCCCTCTCTGAGCTAAACTTGTCCCTGTTAGAGCAGAACTGATTGAAGCGGATTAAGAGGAGGAAAAGTAGTTCTGTTTATCTGCATGACTGGTTTTCCTTTCACCGCCTGCTTCTTTCGTTAATAGCCGTCTGATTGTCGCTCACTGTTATGATTTTTTTTTCCCCGTCATTAATTAACTTTTGCATCCAGTATTTTAAATGAATATATTTCTCTCATAAGGGGGCGATTCCTGTTGGGTGGTCGACATGGCGACTTCAAGTTCCTGCCTCCGTCGAGTTACGCTCCGTGTTACGAGGCCCTGCTGCCCAAAGAGAAGATGAAGGTGGAGCCGGTGAAGGAGTACAAGAGAGACGCAGACGGGGTCCGAGATCTGCTGGGCACCACCCAGTTCATGTCGCAGGCCTCCTTCATCCCCGCGCCTGTGGAAACCAGCCAGGTAAGCTCACAGGACGGGTGGCGATTCAACAGATCAACTCCTCACGGTGCTACCCTCTCATTTGCTTTGACAATTTCTTCAGATTGTCATGCCGCCTCATTTGGAGAAGGTTCGGGACAAGCTGGCTGAGAACATCCACGAACTGTGGGGCATGAATAAGATTGAGCTGGGCTGGTCGTACGGCAAGGTGAGATTGTTTTTTTGTTGTTTTTTTTGCATATATGATTCTTTTCCAGCGAGATCATCACTCAGATCGAATGATAAAAAGCATAATCCATACATTTTTGCCATGTTTGTGGAGAAATAAACATCTCGATTACACGTTTTCTCAATAAATTTAAGTTAAAAGTCAGCTTGAATTGCATTAATTAGTAGTATTAGAACTGACCATCACAAAAAGCCTGTACGTCATCTTGCTTTCTCTTTTATAATTTGCGGTTCACACCAAAAAGAGGGTAAGTGGAGAGAACACTCTCATTTTTCCACGTTCAGTGCTTTCCATGTCACTCATTTAGAAGCTTCATTCCGGTTTGTTTGTAGATAGCGAAGTCATTGTGTCTGTGTTTTAGTACAAGTCATGAATTACAAAGTATTGTTTCACCCAAGGGCAAAACACGATGCTTTGGCAATTTCACCACTGCAATAAACCAAGAGGGAGACCTGTATGCTTTATGCATTTAGTTTTTCCCTCTTTTGAAAGAAAGTCCACTGGGGAGTCTAATTCGTTAAAGGCCGCCATATACATTATAGACACCATCAAGAATTCAAAACACAGGACCAGAACCTGCTATGAAACCGATTGACTGCCTTTTTTTTACACGTTCAAAGAAGAGAAAAATAAAATCTATGATCATATCGTTTTTGTTGCTGTTAAAAATATAGTTTGACATTTTTTGGAAATGTGCTCGTATCTGACAGTTAGATGAGGAGACGGATACAACTCTCCACAGGATTATATTCTAAGGGGAGACACAGGGGGCATGTCTATGATTTTAAACACCAGCATAAGTGAAATGTGCAGATATCTTGCTGAAACAAGCTGAGCAATTAAAATCCAGGAGTTCATAAGTTAATTTAAATCAATGAATTCATCATTTACGTGAAAATATGACACATGTATGTTAAAAGACTTCTGAAAACAAAAGACCAAAGACAAAAGATATATAAATATATATATGTATGTATGTTGAATCACCTGTGTTTTTACTAAATGAGAAAAAATAATTTATAGGCATTTAATAATGGAAGCAATACAGAGGCCTAAGAGCCTTAATGTATTATATTCCCATATATTTTCAAACGTTACCTGGTTTCCTTTAAGTTGATGTAAAAGAGGAACAAATTAGTGCATAAAAACTTAGCAGAATACAGGAAAGTAGGTGTTAAATGCTCAAAATTTCACAGGGAAGGAGACCCAGTCCCCCCAGTGATTAATCTACACCCATACTGAACTGTAAAGT